TCACACACTCAAGTAAAGAGAGTCATGAAATGCAAGACTAAAAAAAAATGCAATTTATGGTCAACTGCAAAAGAAGTTTCAAAATCAAGCATAAATTACTAGAAATAAACCGATAACTGGTTTAACCCACATTTTTTTTAAATTAACACTTTTTTTCTTACACGTAATTCCTTTTTTAATGTTTTTACTGATACTAACACTTCTCAAGTCTTACATTGATTCACACTAAAATTTTAATTTGGTCCTTAAATTCTGGCTTTACCTCTAAATGGTGCCATTTAAAGTCTCAAATTCAAACACATTTGTAGAGATAGATGACAATCGTTTGACCTTTTTTTAACCACTATTATGACTTTCCTGTGTAACCGATTATCAGTTCTTATATACTGGGTTTACCCATGAATGGTGCCATCTAAAAAAAGTGCTTTAAATTCATTCACATTAGTAGAGGTAGACAATAATCAGCTTGTCTAACTGTTACTGATGTTAACATATTTTCACATAATCTTTTTATCAGTTCTTAAATATCAGGTTTACCCATAACAATGTTACACGAAAACAGTGTTTCAAATTCATGCACAATAGTAGAAATAGACAACAACAGGGCTGACCATTATTTTTTACTGATATTAACACTTTTTTGCATATTATCGGTTCTTAAATTTTGGGTTCTACAATAAATTGTGTCATTTAAAACAGTGTTTCAAATTCAAACACATTAGTAAAGACTAAAGAGAGACCAATATTACTTGCTGATATTAACAGTTTTCATGCACAATAGTAGAGAGAGTAGGGTTGTGCCGATAGACGATAGTATCGTGTATCGACGATAGTCAGAGATATCGACGATAGCAGATGTCTTTGTCGATAGTCAAGACGATATTAGGCTCATTCTCTTGTGCGTGCGCGCGCACAAATGAGGAGCCTCGGTGTATAGATACAATCAAAACAGACAATTATCTTTTCTTGTAAAACGTGACACCAAGGCAAGATCGCGAATCTGAAAGTGAAAGCGCACGAAAAGAGTAATTCCTGTTCACAAAATTTAAATCACAAATAATACTGATGAAAAAGAACGGGTTGAATGTTGAACCAGGAGCACACTGTAGCAGGAGTCAGATTTCACTGATCACGTGAAGAGAGGTGCTTTCAGCGCGAGCGCAAAGGTGCGGGCCGCGGACGGAGCGCAACGGAGGATTTGGTTTACAAACTAAAGTAAAAGACCGCTTCTTAAACCAGAGAACATGTTGGTATTCTTGTGGAAAAAAAACATGCAAGTCCCGTCAACGACAGTTTAGTTTTACTTTTCTTTTTGTTTTCGTTTTGAAAAGCTTGTTATCTTTGCTTTACCTCGCGTTACGCTATGGAGGCTTTCCTTATTTATTTTATTATTATTATTATTATTATTTATTTGATTCCTCTGTGTTTGTTAAACATTCTGTAATTTATTAGTTGGTATACAGCATGCGATGTATCCGCCATGCCTCGTCTTATTCGTTTTTGGTAATAAAGGTTATGTAAGCTAGTTTGTCATTGTAGCCTACTGTTTTATTGTTGTTGTGCTTTTTAATTAGGAATAACAATAAATCCATCTTTTGTTTTAGTCTTAAAAAGTGAACGGTGTATAGATACAATCAAAACAGACAATTATCTTTTCTTGTAAAACGTGACACCAAGGCAAGATCGCGAATCTGAAAGTGAAAGCGCACGAAAAGAGTAATTCCTGTTCACAAAATTTAAATCACAAATAATACTGATGAAAAAGAACGGGTTGAATGTTGAACACTTTCGTTACCATATAACTATAAACTATGATAAAAGTTCATCAGCATGCACTGATTAATCAAAAATTGCGTCCAAATTATGTGCTCGTGGGACCAACTGAGAAAGTTAGTCGCAAAAGAGCGACCAGTGGGAAGAATGAGTCTAGAGCCCTGATATATGTGCAATATTTTAACCGAGCCCTCACTAACTGAGTTTAATGCCACAGTTATGTTATAACGCATCTCATTTTTGTATTTAACATGTTAGTTTATCAGTATGTTTGAAAGTATATTATTTAGATTCGCGGTGCTTCCATAGGCTCCCTCTCTCTCTCTCTCTCTCGCGCACCAAATAGTTATGAAATAGCCTATGACAAGTACAGAGAGTCTCTCTCTTGCCCCCACCCATGCACGATAATATCTATCGGCGATCTCACGGACTGGCGATATGGCGATTTGAAAAATGACCATATCGCCCAACACTAAGAGATAGGCAATGATAATGACTTACCATTATTTTACCGATATTAACACTTTTTCACATAAACTGTTATCAGTTCTTAAATATCAGGTTAACCGATAAATGGTGCCATCTGGTATAGTTGGGTGCACCTTTTGCAATTGTTACTTGTCAAGACAGTAAGACATGATCTCAGTGAGATGTACACATATATGTAGAAATAGGCTGATTTCACAGTTCATCTTATCCCAATTGGACATGTTACTTACATAAGACAAATAGCTAGATTGGACTGGTTGTTGGACAACTACTTGATCGGCCTATCATGGCCCATCCCTAGTAAGGATTTGGGTAGATTGCACAAAACCTTTGAACCACCATGAGATTGTTTATTTCTCAGAAAAAGCAATTCCAATAACACAAAATTCTAAGAATCAGGGAGTCAGTCTGACACACAGCGCATTGGTTATTAACTAAAACCTTTAAACCTCTCAGAGCTGTATAATTACAGCAGGTATTTGATCAAAGGCCCTCAAATACAACGGGGTAATTTAGCCTCCCTCAATCTGAGAACATAGGGATCAAAATCTGCTTCAACCCCACAGCCCCACTCACTCGCCCTCTTTTTCTGACACTCGCTTTCTCTAAGTTGAGAGCACAGATAATGAACTAGAGGCTAAGGGTTATCACAATAATTTGGTGCTAATTTGCTCAATTCAAGAACCCTCAAAGGCCTTTAAAAAGCTATAGCCTGCTCAAAGGGACCTGACATTTGTGGTCTTCTAGCCCTCATTGACCACCAGGGCAACAATACTGAGAATGAAACTAATTCATCAGCTTGATTTTTCAGATTGCAATAACGTTTGCCCTTCGCCTCCACATTTGACAAATTACCTCAGAGTTTTCCAGCAATAGATTTTTTTCTTCAACCAAAATAATTTATCAAGTAAAGAAAAGCATAGAGCATGAAGCAATTGTGTTGAGAAACAGCTCAATAGCAATACTGAAAATAACACAACGTGTTGAGGAGTGGTGGATGTGCAATGCAATCTGGCAATGTGAGTTTCTCTAGAGTGTGCTGGAATGAAATTAATGGGAAAATTATTTCATCCTCCTGCCCGTAACCCAGGACGAGCAAAGCTCATCTGTATGTTGAAAGAGTGAAGCGAGCTAATTAGTGATTTCACCTCACGGGAGAAAAATGAGAGAGAATTCAGTAGTCCATCAGAACTGCCAAGGTCTTCACACTGACTCATTTAATGGCTGAAGGATATTTGGAGTACTGAAGGAGTGTTATTAATACAGTATCAGGAATGCAGATTCACAGGTTTTCAGTTGTTTAGTTATAAATTAAATTTTAAGTAAAATATAACAAATTAAAGACTACATGAAACAGCATCTGCAACCAATTTTACTTTCATAAAATGGTTTCTAGTGAAACCAGATATGCAACAATTAAAAATTTTTTTTTAGAAAATTACTTTTTTTTTTCTTTTTCTATTTTTAACATAAAATTATATACCCATGTACATTACTATTATTTTTTATAGCAGCTGTTTCGCCAGTTCCCAATTTTTGGGGTCTTAAAATCTTCAATACAACATGAGCATAAGATATAAGCATAAGTCATTTTTTGTCCATATTTGTTTATTCAAAAAATATTTTAAATATGTAAATAAAATAAAAATAATGCATACAGTGATTGCACCTGTTCTATGATTCATTTCTTGTTCTGAATTTAAAAAAATAGTGTGATATTTTTGGGGCATAAGGTCAAGACCGTCAGAATGATACAGCTGTCTTGATATAATAATGAAGAAAAAACATAATAATAATTCATTACATTTATATAGTGCTTTTCTAGGCACTCAAAGCGCTTTACATTGTCAGGGGGGATCTCCTCATCCACCACCAGTGTGCAGCATCCACCTTTAGTCATTAAAAGACTAATTAAAGAGATTAAAAATGGCATAATATTTTATTATTATATGTTAGAAACAAATGTGTATTGAAGCAGTTTATATACATATAAAATCATTTTTTGTGGTGCCTTTTTTTATTATCTTGGATTGTTTTATGTGTCATTGACCTATTAAATATAGCCAAAATACCTATTTGGCATTAACCAAATTTTAGCTGAAAAGAAAAATCTTCTCAGGGGAAAAGCTTGTTTTTTATTTGGAATTAATAATGCACACTGACAAACTGTGCACAATAAGACCAGGAACAAGAAAAAGAAGGCTAACAAGGAAAAATAGTGACTTCATGTTGACTTTAAAATTGCTTAAATTGGTTACTCAAGTGTCCTAGAACGTTTCCATATTCCATTTTTGCACTGTTCCCATAATTGACAGAAAGAAGAGAGAGAAAAATCTAACCCAGGGAACCCAAACAGGAAAATGAGGTTGTTTTGTGTTCCTTGGAGGGTGAACTACTGTCAAACCAGAGCGGCGCTGACAGAATGTATTCACGGATCAAAACCAAAACAGAGCACGCTGTGTCACTATCACTGCAGAATCTCATCATTCCTGCGCTACTGCCAGCCAGTCACGGCCGAAGAACAAGAGATCAGACACCTAAACTGAAAAAGACGCAGGTGTCTAATGGCACGTCAGCTACAAGCAGTCTGGTCAAGCTGCCAGAGAGGAAGGAAGAGTCAGCGAGCCTGGCTGAGCACTGAAGGATGCTGGGATACTTGAGGGGTGATTGTACATAGAGCAGATCTAGAATGTAGACAAGGGAATCATGCAGAGAGAAAGAAAGAGCTTGATGCTTACCCTTGTGGTTGATGGACCATATGCACTGCTTGCTCTGAACGTCCCACATCCTGACAGTCTCGTCGTTGGAGCCAGATAGCAGAAGGGTCCCGTCCATAGACACAGACAAACATGTCACCAGATTTCTGTCCAGGAGGAGAGAGACTGTTATAGTGGAGAGTGTAGGTGCAGATTTATACAGGTTTATCTGCTCTACAAACTAACAAGTCTGCCTATATAATGCTGTATATTGTGTATAAAAAATAATAAAATCATGGTGTGCGGTTTAGCATACATGCTCCAGACATGTTGAGCCATGGTGCTAATGCGGGAGGAGGAGGATTTTTTAAGAAAGAATCTTGTCAAATAAATGTCTGAATAAAATTATTCTATTTTAATAATTAATATGTTTATATATATTCATGTAAATATCTAAACAGACAGCACTGGAAAAAATTAAGAGACCACTGCAAAATGATCAGTTTCTCTGGTTTTTCTATTTATAGGTATGTGTTTGAGCAAACCAAATTTGTTTTATTCTATAAACTACTGAAAACATTTCACCCAAATTACAAATCAACATATTGTCATTTAGAGCAATTATTTGCAGAAAATGACAACTGGTCAGTGTTTTCAGACCTCAAATCATGCAAAGAAAACAAGTTCATATTCATTTTATAAACAACACGATACTAATGTTTTAACTAAGGAAGAGTTCAGAAATCAGTATTTGGTGGAATATCCCTGATTTTCAATCACAGCGTTCATGTGTCTTGGCATGCTCTCCACCAGTCTTTCACATTGCTGTTGGGTGACTTTTTGTCACTCCAGACGCAAAAAAATTCATCATGACAGGGTCTTGCTCTGGTGGTCCTCCATCCACACCTTGATTGACCTGGCTGTGTGCCATGGAGCATTGTGCTGCTGGAAAAAAAAAAAACAATCCTCAGAGTTGGGGAACATTGTCAGAGCAGAAGGAAGCAAGTTTTCTTCCAGGACAACCTTGTACATGGCTTGATTCATGTACCCTTCACAAAGACGAATGTGCTCGATTCCAGCCTTGCTGAAGATCCAGCCAGATCATCCTCCACCTAATTTCACAGTGGATGGCTTGTAGGCCTCTCCAGGTTTCCGTCTAACCATTAGACAACCAGGTGTTGGGCAAAGCTGAAAAAATTGGACTCATCAGAGAAGATGACCTTACTTCAGTCCTCCATGCTCCAATCCTTATGGTCTTTTGCAAAGCTCAGCCTGGCTCTTCTCTGCTTCTCATTGATGAAGGGCTCTTTTCTAGCTTTGTCCTGCTCCTAGGAGCTTGTTTCGAACCGTCTTCACCGTGCACTTCACCCCAGCTGTTGTTTGCCATTTTTTTGTAGGGCACTTGATGTCGTCCTACGGTTGTTGAGTGACATTCGAATGAGTTGGCGGTCATCCCGGTCAGTGGAGTCATTTTTGCTCTCTGCCGTTTTGTAGCTTTGTTGTCCCCAATGTATGCAGCTTGACCTTGTTCTTATAAACAGCCATCTTTTAAATTTTATAGATTGAACCCTTAGTTTCCTCACTCAAAAATTTTCAATTCAACTCTTTTGGCATGGTCACTAGTTAGTTATTATTTGATTCCAATTACTTTTGAGCTACTACTAGCACTGTCTTTGCCATCCAGCTGGTCCTATTGCAAGAGGATAGTGATGACCGTAGCAGTGGTTTTTATACTTTTCCTTGTAAAATACGATTTGATATATTATATATATATATCATATATACACTGTATACACACACACACACACACATATATTTTATTCATATAAATATATAAACATGTATGTGTGTGTGTGCATATATATATATATAAACATCCTATATACATATACACATTCTATTTATAAAAGATCTATGATATTTTTTAAGATTCTCTGATAAATAAAGTTCAAGAGAAAAGCATTTATTTGAGATTTGTTTTTGTTTTAGAGATTTATTTGCCATTTTTGTCAAATTAATGTCTTTACTGACACTATTTTTATACATTTTATATAATAATCAAAAAACCCACAAAAGATAATATTGTATAGAGTAAATAGATTAAGTCAAAGCCACATTAAGATCTCAAGCCACATTAAGATGTCACATAAATTAACAAGTTTGTTACAGTACAATGCCAAAATGACGCTCTTTCTGCCACCAGCACCCGCCAATTCTGTGATTCGCGCTGTGTGACCTGAAAACACCACAGCAAATGGAGGCTTTGATTACACCTCCTGCCTGCACCGCTTCACAGGCAGAGCTTCTGCACAAAGCACAGACAGATGGAATTGAATCCAAAATGAGTTTGTTCCAGAGCAGAAGCCAGAAACATTCACCTTTCTTTCTTTCATTTCACTGACTGCATTTTGGGCTCTGGCACAAAAACGCATGACCTAACATGGGTCACAAAAAAAAAAGTGCAGACAACCTCACCTGTGTCCTTTAAACACCTGATTGCCGTCGCTGTCCGTCTGGAAGGTTTTATCCCGGTTTATACTCTGCCAAGCAAGAAAGAAAGAGAGAAAAAGAGCAAAGGAGAAGGAGAAACATTTATAACAATGTGGGGAAAACAATCCAAACGCTAACATGGGTCAACAATAACGACAGCCTGCTGGCTTGGGGTCAGTGTGAGAGTTTGGGGGTCTCGCCGCATTTTACACTCATTGATCATGTACATGTTTTTTATGCCAACTATAGGGCAGCTGAAAAAAATTCTTATAGTTGATCACTGGCTAGAGCAAATTAGCTTACAGTCCTGGTACACACAATCCCGCTTCGTCCTGCAGCCTCCATTAGGTAGCAGGGGATTTAGCTCCAGCTGTCTCCTAAATGGTCTGATCGATTGACTTAATGCCATTAATTAAGGAAGAGTCTGTAGGAGAAGTACGGTGGCCTGGACTGGAGCACAGCTGACTCAAATCATTACATCCCCTCTTTAAAGGCTGACAATAAGGAGCATCAATAATACATGACAGGAAGAGTTAAAGGCAGCAGGAGATCTCTGGCCATTCTGGAAAAAAATGCATGTCTTTCATATTCAGATTTGCACATTATTACGGACAGACATCGCACTGGTCCGGAAATAAAATCCAAAATGTGATTAGGAGGAGGAAATCGTTTTGAGAGACTTCGTTATAATTCAAATAATAGAACTGTTCAGTTTGTAGTCGTGAAACCCAGAAGAGAATTGGCAATTTCAAGCCATGAGTTCCCTCTGGAATATCTAATGGGGTTTTAGAATAGAGGTTTTTGATTTATGATTAAAAGGAGGTCTGTGGTTAAAATTACTCCAAGAGACTGTGTTCAAAGTCAATTAAACATGGGAGATCCAAAACATAGTGCCAAAACATATCTGAAACCACTGTGTGCATTAAAACATAATAAAAAGTTGCTAGTTACCACAAGGGATTCATGTGCATGAGAATTGTTCTCCATAAGTCTCTAATGCTCACCAAGGCTGCATTTATATAATCAAAAATACAGTAAAAACAGTAATATTGTGAAATATTACAATTTTAAAAAACTGTTTTCTATTTTAATAGATTTAAAAATTAAATTTATTGCTGTGATGCAAAGCTGAATTTTCAGCATCATTACTCCAGTTTTCAGTGTCACATGATCCTTCAGAAATCACTCCAATATGCTGATTTGCTGCTCTGTTATTATTCATTATTACACGGCTATGTGGAATACTTGATTCTGATTGGTCAGTTGCAACATTCCGAGGTATGTTATCCCTCGATAACAACCGGTAATAACTAATAAAAAAGGCTCATCTGGGTAACTGAAGTTGGCGCTATACTGCCAGGAACCGTTTTTTCTTGGTGGAAGCTTTGCATTTGTTTAGCTAATAAAATATTAAAACTCGATTCAAAATGGTGTACAATTATTTAATTATTTTATCCCTTAAATGTCCATCTAGTTTGAACTTGCCGCTTGCTCGCAACTGCTGTGTTCACTGAAGCTTTGCGTTGAGTTATTTTCTCAAATCAATATTTCATGTCTAATTATTTACTTATGTGGCAAGTATCCGTGTAATAAGCGGGATAATGTACATCCAGCCGGTTTTTATCGCTAAATAACCCCCTTCAGGGTGATACAAGACTTATTCCTTATTCTGCGATAACAACCGGCTGGATGTACAGTATCCCTTACTTATTATTGGTGCTCAGTTATAAACAACGGTTCTTATTATTATCAGTGTTGAAAACAGTTGTGCTGCTCAATATTTTTCGTAAACCGGATTTTTATTTATTTATTTTTGGACGTAGAGCCCCACACATGACATGCAAAAGAAAAAATAAATATAGGGGCCATGAATTGAAATGAAAACGTTTTCATTTGTGGCCACAATTTATTAATTTGTTCCCTCGTTTTAGTTAAATTGTGGCTATGTTGCAGTAATTTGCTCCCTCGTTTTAATTTAATATAATGTGGCTACAAATAACTAAAACACTATATATTGTTATATACATATATATGTATATTTTTATACAGTATATATATATGACCATTCTGGGGTGCTTTTTTCCCCTTTTCGAAGCTTGATAGTTTGAGTCTCCATTCGCTTTAACTGCATGGCAAAGAGGGATCAGCATTTCACATTTTTTATTTGGAAAGAAAGCCATTTGAGTTTGCAACAACGTGAGGGTGAGTAAATAATGACAGGATTTTTTTAGTTTGAGCCGTTCCTTTAAATCTATCCTTGATGGGAAAAATCAACTCTAAGCAAGTATAACCGCTACAATCAAGCGTCCGTATACAGCAGGGCTGTCCAGAGCAACAGTTTAAGTTAAACAGACGTCAGACAGCCTTGACAGGATTAGATTTTAAAAACCTTCAGCAGTAACACACTTTCTCGCTCTGTATTTTTCTCTTTGCGTCTTTTTATTTTCCCTCTCTGTCTTTCGTCAGGGAGGCAGGGAGTTCTAAGCGTTCCTGTCAGAAAGCCTTTTATCTAAATATGACAAATTCAACCCTCGTTCATCACTGACGAGACAATCCAAACAACAAGGGGAAAGAAACAGAGATGAGGAAGCATTTTCAGCAGGGTGAAGAGGTCAATGAAACTGCTGCACTGAGAAGAGAAGCTTAACAGAAGTGTATAACGTCACAACTGCATAATAAATAACGATTTTTGACATGAAATCTAATGACCGAACACTATAAAGTGCGTCTTTTTATTTTCCCTCTCTGTCTTTCGTCTTCAAGCGGGCAGGGAGTTCTAAGCGTTCCTGTCAGAAAGCCTTTTATCTAAATATGACAAATTCAACCCTCGTTCATCACTGACGAGACAATCCAAACAACAAGGGGAAAGAAACAGAGATGAGGAAGCATTTTCAGCAGGGTGAAGAGGTCAATGAAACTGCTGCACTGAGAAGAGAAGCTTAACAGAAGTGTATAACGTCACAACTGCATAATAAATAACGATTTTTGACATGAAATCTAATGACCGAACACTATAAAGGCATCTAGTCCTGAGGAGTAATTTTTTGTTTTCCACAAATGTTACTGGCAGGTGATTGTATTTTGTTCAAAGGGAAATGTCTAAACCAATCAGAACGCAAAGATCGAGGCCAATGTTTTGGAAAGCAGTCAGGACGCCATGTTCCAAGCCTCTTTACATTTCCCACCAATTAATCTTACTGTTAGATCAACTTTAAGACAGTAGACCAAATTATTAAGTGAAAACCTACCTTAGAAGTCAAAGACATATGAGTCTATCAATGAACAGCCTTTGAACATCTTGAAAGGTTTTAGAAACATGAAAAAATAAATAAATCAGGAAACCCTGCAGACTAAAAAGGCTGGCTGAGATTCCAGACGCGAGGAGCAGAATGAAAAACCAAGAGGCTGAGAAAGCACACCATTACCAGCTCATTAATGCCCTGATTAATGTTTAAGAATGATGATGATGAATGTATCTGGACAGATTGGGAATGAATCGCACACAGTTTCACCTCAGTTTAAAGGTGTTTAGAAACACATGCAGAAACACATGCTGTCTCTCTCTCACACACACACACACTGAATTAAAACATGCATTCAAACAAAAAGAAAAAAGAAATCTTCAGTAGTAAAACACTGCCTCAAGAAGAAACATGTTTATTCATAAAAAATTATGTCTCAAGCATCTCCTGTTAGATTTGCAGTTTCTCAATATGAGCTCAGGAACACTTTAATCATCATATGGTGAGAGCTATAAGATTAATCTTTTTATTAAGTGCTGACCAGAAAATGTTAGGTCTTCCAAATTTTTCTTCTTATCATTTAAGGTAGTTTTCAAGCTTTGTGGACACTTTTCTCATTTCCAGGGTTCTCAGAAGCAGAACATAGTCATGTAAACTTCTAAAGTGGGAAACAGAAACTACGACAAATGTACGTTTTTGTATTTCACTTTTGCTTCAATAGCAAAAGAAAAAGAAAACATGTTTCTATGAGCTTACAAAAGAAGAAAAAATATCTAGAGACTGATCACATTGGCTGGAAGAGAGAAAGATGTCAAATTTACCATCACTCCCTCAGCCGTTGTATTAGAAACATTTGTGTAGCAGTGTTAACTAGTTTTCTGTAATTTAATGCTAAGGTAATATAACACAAATTATAGTGCTATAAATTAGGGTTGTGACGGTGAGGAAATTTTGCCACCGGTTAATCGACGTGTGACAACACCGGTAATACCGGTATCACTGCGGGGGCGGGGCGTTCCCTCTTTTCCTCGCTTTCCTTCGCTTTTAAATAGCTTGTAAAAGCGGTGAGCCCATTTTACTTTCACTTTCAAATAGTGGCAATTCGGAGTAAAGCAATTGTTCGTTTTTAGTTCGTTTGAATTTTCCCTCTTTTCCTCGCTTTCCGTCGCTTTTAAATAGCTTGAAAGCGCCGTGC